CTTCCTGCTAGTTCTCGTTCATTAATTCTTTGACTTATATCTCAGGGATGTGTATTCAAATAGATATTTCGGGATAAAATGTAATTGTATTTCTTTTGCTAGGTATAGAATTCTTATTTCACAGACTATTATTCCTTAAAAATGGTAGACCATGCTCAGTTGTCTCCAGTTTGTAATGTAAGGTGTCTGAAGCTGGTCTTCTTTCTTTTTTCTTTGTGAGCGATATGATTCTACTGCCTGGATACTAGGAAGGTTTTTTTTTCCGTTTTTATCTCCAAAAATAAATAGCTTTATTAATTGATATCTTGGTGTTGCTCCACTTAACATACGTTTTCCTGGTATGTAGTGAATAATTTTGATACGTGTATTTGGGTGTTCCTTCATTTGTGAAAGTGTATTTTGTAAATCTGTCTTTGAATAATTTTGTTTTGAGTAGTAGTATTATTAAATACTTATTGAGCACCTAACTCTGTACCAGGCACTACGCAAGTCTCTGGGGAATGTAGTGGTAAGTAAAGCAGTCATGGTCTCTATCTCTCTGCGTTCACACACATCAGTTAGACCTAGGTTATATAAGTGCCCTTAGTTCATACTAATTATGTCTCATCATATTGTGTGGCAACTGCATTTCCATGTGTCATTCCGAGTCAAGATGTGAGCTTCTTGAAACTCAGGCACTATATTCTTCTTGAAACTCAGGCATAATAGTATATAATGCTGTTGGATTCTCTGACATATGGGTAAGATCTCAGTAAATTTGAGTAAATGGCCCAATGTTATTGAAATGCTGCTCCTGTTTCTTAATCTTCTTCCTAAATTTTGCTCTCTGCGTACCTAGTGTGATCTGTTCTTAACCTTTGCCCTTTTCCTCACCCCTTGCTTGTAATTAATTGTTCTGTGGGCTACTCTTTGCCTTCTATAGTATATCAACCCCTGCAACATTTTTCTACTTGATGCTCACTTTTCCAACTACCATATCTTCTGTGTACGTAATACATGTCTCCTTTTTAAACCATTGACTCTGCAATTCCAGCGCAACTATTTCTGAAAACAAGGAACAGTATTGAAAGATGATGTTTGATTTTATTCCATCTGTGTACTTGGTGATTTTATTCCTTTCACCTAGTGGCCAAATCAGAATCTACACCATGGCATAGACTTTTCCTGTCTGTAGCCAAAGCTTAACATGTGTTGATACTACCTGATTAATCTTAATATTATTCCCCTGTCTTACTTTTAAGGATCTGAATGTTGGTATTTTCAGATTAAATTTAGAAACTAGTCCTGCTTTGTGTCATTTTTGGCCTTAACCATGTATAAAAGCAACATACTAATGCTTACACTAACTGTAGATTTTAGTCTTATCATTATAGAGCTGTGTATTTATTGGCATAACATTAATTCTGTGGACGAAAACTATGTATAAGAATATTATCAATAGTATTGACTGATTCTTGAACTCCTGGTTTCAAGTGATCCTCCAGCCTCTGCCTCCCAAAGCACTGGTATTACAGGTGTGCCCAGGCAGTATTGACTGATTCTAAAAGATTACTAAATTCCACTAAATTATAAGTAGTGTTTGTTGAGTAATAAATTTTTCTTAGATCTTATTTATTCAGTCAGCAGCAGTTAGTTTCCAAAGAGGCATGATCAGCAGGGGTTCTTAACTCTTTACAGAGTTGGGGTTACTGGCAAACTCATTTTTCTCATCAGTTTGGGAGTCAGAGAGACTTACACAAATTCATTCCGGTCTGTTCTTTATTGTAATTACAGCTTAATTTTTTTATCTTCAATATGTTTTGTAATCATAGTTTATGCTTGCCATCACCGAAAATATTTACTAACTAGACTAATGAACCACATTGCCTTTTTTTTTCTTTAAAGACCATACCTTTAAAATATTGTCTATTTTGAGTTTCAAAATAAAAGTATCATCACATGGTAGCCTGTTTTCTATAAAATAATACAATTCAATAAAAAATGTTTATTGAAAACCTGTTAATCTTGCTAATGAGCTTCAGTTCGAGTTAGTATTTGCTGGTCTGTATCCTGTAGTGTTCAATCTCAGGATTTAATTTGAAGGGAATTAATACTAGGTTACCTCTCTATAAAGGTAGAAATCATAATGCTGTTTTGTTGTGTTTTTTTTGACCTTTTTGTTTTTAATCCCTTCAAATTGCATATATACAAACATTTTAACTTAAGAAAGTAGACTCAACTAATGTCTGAATATCCATAGTTCAGCCTTTGTCATGCCTTGCAAACCTGATTGGGTTAATGTGTGTTTTCAGGATTTTAAAATTATTTTTCTGGTGTGCCAATGTTTAACCTTGCACCATGTTATTGAAGTGAAAACAATTCAGTTTTGTTGTATTTTTCCTCTTGTTCTTAACAACATAATGCCATAGAGGACATAAAAACCTCTGCTCTATCCCTTGTGCCATGAGGTTCAGAAGGCAAAAGACTTTTTTTTTTGCACCAAACTAGAAGAGGGTAAGATATTAGAGGTGAGATTTGTTTTTTCTTTCTTTTTTTGAGATAGGAATCTTGCTCTGTTGCCCAGGCTGGAGTGCAGTGGCGCAGTCTTGGCTCACTGCAACTTCCACCTCCCAGGTTCAAGCGATTCTCTTGCCTCAGCCTCCCGAGTAGCTGGTATTACAGGCGCCTGCCACCACTCCTAGCTAATTTTTGTATTTTTAGTAGAGATGGGGTTTCACCATGTTGGCCAGGCTGGTCTTGACCTCCTGACCTCAGGTGATCTGCCTGCCTCCGCCTCCCAAAGTGTTGGGATTATGGGCCCAGCCGAGATTTTTTTTTTTTTTTTTAAACCACTCTAGTTAGCTGTCCCTCTCTGAATATTGGATAGGAATGTAATCACATTTTAACTGTTTTCAAGTGTATTATACTACTGGAGGGTACACAATTTCCAATCATCTGTTAAGGAGAAACTAAGAACATTTGAAACTTTGACCAGCTTTCATTTTGAGGCATTACAAGTTTTTGAAAAAACAAAACAAAACAAAAAACACCTGATGTTGAATTTACTATGGTCCTAAGAAAAGCCCTACGTTTTGATTATTTGGATTATGTCTTCTGTCCTGAAAAGTAGCTATCTTACAGGGATTGCAAAGATCTAAGTCTTTCTGGTATACAAAGCTGGATGATTTTGAACTTGACACCAGCTAAGCCATTTCCCAGGGATTTATGAAGACTGATGAAAATACAATTATTATACTGGTAAAATGTTGCTATATAAGTAGGGTGATGGTTACTATTACTGATATTATAGGTACTTTTTAAAAATTCTGAAATGACTTTAGATACATTGCTCCCTGCTTGCAAGTCGTAGGTCCTCCTTTTTGCTTGCTTTCTGTCTTTTTGTTCATTCTCTTAGGTTTTAAGAATAGCTACAAAGTTTTGAAAATGCTTTATAGTTTGGCTCTTTTAAAGCTATAGGCTAAGAGTGTTGACACAGGAAGGTCTTCTCACATGATCCCGCTTTACCCATTAACGATGTCTATAATGCAGTATCATTATTTCCTCCTCAAAGGAAGTGACTGATAGGGCCAGGAATAAATTACAATCTTAGTGATACAGAATCATTTTGTATCTGTTCTGAACATGATTTATGCTTGGTCCACAGTTAATTTTTATTTATTCTGTAAGTCCTTTTGAATAAATAAAAATGTTTATAATGGAAAAGATCTTGTAGAAAAAAGGGAAAAGGAACTCGAGAGTTATTAATTGCAAATCAGAACTGCATTTCTTATTTTATTGATATGCTTTCAACAGGTCCATAAAGTCACAACTATTTTTATAGTAATAGATTATGATTCGCCTTTTGTGCTCTCTTGTGAATATACAGTCAAGTTTTCCAGAGATTATATTTTAATATGTGATGATATCACTGCCCTGACAGCTAATGGAACGTGTGCTTGTGTATTCTTGTTTTAAACATTTCTGAGTTTTAACATTTAATATGGTATATAGCAATAGATATGAACCAGATAAACAAAAGCTCAATAATGAGTTTAGAAGAACCCTGAGACCAAAGTTTGAGAACCATTTTTCTCTGGCATAGTTAAATTGAAGTTACAGACTTTTCCTTGTAATTTCATGTTTGTTGTAGGGAACCATAACCTCTTCTGTTTCTGCTCTCTCAGGGAATAGAATGGGAGGCATTGTTTTAAGTCTTGCTCTGTCACCTAGGCTAGAGTGCAATGGCACAATCAAAGCTCACTGCATGGTCATAGCTCATTGCAGCCTTGAAATCCTGGGCTCAAGTGAACCTCCTGCCTCAGCCTCCCCAGTAGCTGGGACTACAGGCATGTGCCACCATCCCCAGCTAATTTTTAAAATTTTTTGTAGAGATGGATTCTTCTGCGTTACCCAGACTGGTCTCAAACTCCTGACCTCAGGCAACCCTCCCTGCCTCAGCCTCCCAAAGTGCTGGGATGATAGGTGTGAGCCACCATGCCTAGCTTAAAATGTGAATTTTAAGTGTGATTGGTGCAATTCAGGAAGGTGGCTCTTAACAGTTCTTGCTTAAAGGAAGAAAGCTGAAAATAAAGAGACAGAGACCTTTCTTTTTAACAATACTGGCCAGAATTACTATCTTTTGATGTACTCTCATCACTGGAAGGGCCCAAGCATAAATCAAACAACTATTGAGAGTATTTTTAAAGAAGATTATAGTTCAGACAGGGGACTATACTACTACAAGGAATCTAATAATACAAAGTTCCTTTAAAACACACTTAAAATCCTATAATTTTGGGGCTGGAACCACTTTGGCTGCATGTAAATTTTAACAATAACAAATAAAGTGGTGGTCTTGTTCATAGGTATCACCCAGTTAAATGCTTTCCCATTACATCTTTTAACAAATTAAAATGAATTATAAAAATAGACTTTCTAATTTGTTAGCCCTGTTTCTTTCTCCCATTAAAATGATATATTTAACTTGCTTACTACTTTTTCCCCTATGTATTTTATTTCAGTTGGTCGCATTATGTTTCAGCTCTTCTCAGACATATGTCCAAAAACATGCAAAAACTTCCTTTGCTTGTGCTCAGGTAAGTGAATTATTATTTCTGATGAGAAGCTGTGTCTTACAGTTTTACCTTGCTGAATAGAATAGATATTTTCCTGAAATTATAATGGACTTGTGAAATTAGTTTTGTGAATTAAAAAAAAAAAAAAAAAGAGTTACTTATACTGACTTTTATATGAAATCAGGGAAGCATTTCTTAAGGGGAAGATATTAGAAAGGAATGATCTCAAAAATGAAAAAGAGAGTAAGAATCTACATTATGTAATGAAATCTTCTCTATACATTTTAGTTTATAAAGTAATAGCACACATTCAAAACTGATTTGATGGAATTTTATGAATTTCACTACTTTGAAAAAATTTAGTATTCCAAATTTTACAATAAATTTTAAATAAATAGAAAAAATAGGCCGGGCGTGGTGGCTCAAGCCTGTAATCCCAGCACTTTGGGAGGCCGAGACGGGCGGATCACGAGGTCAGGAGATCGAGACCATCCTGGCTAACACGGTGAAACCCCGTCTCTACTAAAAAATACAAAAAACTAGCCAGGCGAGGTGGCGGGCGCCTGTAGTCCCAGCTGCTCGGGAGGCTGAGGCAGGAGAATGGCGTGAACCCAGGAGGTGGAGCTTGCACAAGTGGGCTGAGATCCGGCCACTGCACTCCAGCCTGGGCCACAGAGCGAGACTCCGTCTCAAAAAAAAAGAAAAGAAAAAATGGGGAGGGAAACATCTATAATGTTACTTTAAAATTAGAACACACTGGCCGGGCGTGGTGGCTCAAGCCTGTAATCCCAGCACTTTGGGAGGCCAAGGCAGGCGGATCACCTGAGGTCAGGAGTTCAAGACCAGCCTGGCCAACATGGTGAAACCCTGTCTCTAATAAAATTACAAAAATTAGCTGGGTGTGGTGGCAGGCGCCTGTAATCCTAGCTACTCGGGAGGCTGAGTCAAAAAAATCACTTGAACCCGGGAGGCAGAGCTTCCAGTGAGCTGAGATTGCACCATTGCACTCTAGCCTGGGGGACAAGAGCCAGACTTCGTCTCAAAAAAAATAAAATAAAAATTAGAACACACTGAAATTTTAAATTCTTACTTGGATACACATATGCAATTTTTGCCCTAACTCCTTAATTTTGTTGTTTATTTATTTTGAGACGGAGTCTGACTCTGCCTCCAAAACAGACTGGAGTGCAGTGGTGTGATCTCAGCTCACTACAACCTCCACCTCCCAGATTCAAGTGATTCTCCTGCCTCAGCCTCCTGAGTAGCTGGGACTACAGGCCTGCACCACCACACCCGGCTAATTTTTGTTTTTTTTGTTTTAGAGGCAGGATTTCACCCTGTTGGCCAAGCTGGTTTCAAACTCCTGACCTCAAGTGATCTGCCTACCTCGGCCTCCCAAAATGTTGGGATTACAGGCATGAGCCACTGTGCCCGACCTCGTTCTTTAACTAGAGTGACAAGTGTGTCTAATATTATGTCCTATAGCATGTAGAGTCTGTACCACACAATTTTACATTTACATGCTGCTTTGTATGATTTATTTTGGTTTGCATGCATGTGTGTATGTTAAATTATCATGTCATCTACTTCTTATATCTCTTCCAGTGCCCAGCAAGATTTGACACAGGATTAATTGGTTTGTTCTTTCTATGGAAGGATGTATGTATAATTAAATTTCATTTCTTTTTTTTTTCCAGGAGAGAAAGGCCTTGGGAAAACAACTGGGAAGAAGTTATGTTATAAAGGTTCTACGTTCCATCGTGTGGTTAAAAACTTTATGATTCAGGGTGGGGACTTCAGTGAAGGTAGAGCTAAAAGTTGTGTTCCTAATAACTCTATCTATCAGTTTCTAAAGTATTTCATTATTACTCTTAGTTCTAAATATTGTGTCAATTACAGTATGATATAAAATGTGGTCAGTGAGTACTTGTTGGATGAGTGAATATTATAGATCCAGAATGTATGAAAAAGCAAAGTACCACGTAAGAAATTTTATCTTGTTTTTATGCAGTTTATTAATATTATAGTTACTTAGTGAATTCCTTTACAATGAATGCCAAAGTACTGTCTGATTGCTTTTGTTCTAGAATGTTTTTGATGTTGTTACTGTTTGAAATAAGTGGATTGTGAAGATGGCTTTTTTTATGGTATTTATTGTAATGGGATTTGACATATATTTTAAAGATGAAGTTAATTGAGGACTCTGAGAATTTTGATTATTGCAGCAATTATAACATTCCAAGGTTTCCTTCAGCAAATTGAAGCTATCAAAAATGATTTATGTGTTAGTATATTTTTAATGTTCATTATGGCTTAATGTAACTCATTATTTGCAGGTAATGGAAAAGGTGGAGAATCAATTTATGGTGGATATTTTAAAGGTAAGGCTTATTTTACCGTCTTTTGTTTCAGTTCTGATATTAAAGCAAGTTTGATCATATACTTTTAATGAGAAGAGGTTTACTTATAGTTCACTTTTTGCATGAAACTAATGCTGCATGAAAATACTTTATTTGCATGAATTTGGGGATAAATTATATTGTAATATATAATTTTTAATTGACAAGATTAATTAAGGCTAACTTTATGGTTAAACATGACTTTCAGCATGGAGGTTAGGCAACTATATACATGAAAACTCCTATCTTCCTGCCTAAAACTGTCAACATATTCTTTTGTTTATAGAGAATGTGGTCTTTTGCAAAATGAAAAGGTAAGAGAACGAAGCTCAGTAACACAAACTCCAATTCTGTTCCCTTGCACCCTTCCTAATAAATTTATGGACAGTCTGGGTCAGGTTGTGACTGGATTTCTATATTGCTTGAAGACTTGGAAAATTCTGTGTATTATTTCATACATACTTCTGTATCTTTTTTCATTTCCCAATGGGTTATTAATTTCACATCAGGGAAAAGAGTCTAGTTGTGGGGTTTTTTTTCCCTAAACCAAGCAATTTCTTTGAATAAAAGTTGAATTTCCTCCTTTTTCGAAGGTTTGTATGTTTTCTTTTGTATATTAGAACTATGACTGTGTTTATTCTTATAATAGTAGCATCTGCATAAATCTAACTATTGCACTTGCCCCAAAAAGCCTTAGAAAAGTCAGTTGCAGAGGTTTGTAATGAAATCTAATATTACTAGGTTTTAACGCTATAATAGCTTCAGTGTTATAATAGTCTTTTATATTTCCTTTGGGGGAAAATGGATTACTACTCTTTTTCAGAAGCCTGTTCCCAAGGTAATCACTTTTTAAAGTTTTCTATGTTTCTGTTTGTTCTGAAGAAGATTTGTTTGTATGAATGTTAAAAGGACACTTAAATTAGTTTTCAAGGATATTCCTGCTGGAATTAAAATAACTCTAAGTAATCTTTATCACAGATTTTTTTTCCTTTGAACTAGTAGGAAACAGCTGTTTAGCTGGTTCTATTATGTAGCAATTTAAAACTAATGCTTTAGGCCACTTTGTGGTTGTTCCCTGTGGCAGATACTTTTGTACCTTAAAATTGTATTTTGCTATTTAAATTTTTGTTTCACAGGGCTTTCCTGTTTAGATAATTTTGTGATACAATTGAGTATACACATACTTAATTTAGATATGTTCCTGTAACTTACTATAACATAATTTTTTTGGTCTCGTAGTCTAGCTTCAATTCTGTTGAATAATAAATTTACTGTATAAAAATTAAACACCTAAAAAGATTATTAAACTTCTTCCATGTATAGTACATTAGGCAAGCTAATTGGAAATTTGGAGGAAGTAAGCTAGAGATTTTTCTAAAATTTTACTAGTTTTCCCTGAAAGTTAATAATTTAAATATCATTTAGCCAAAGTATATTACTACTAAAAGTGACTGTTCTAAGGCTGTTTGTATAAAGTATTAAATATATGTTCTTTTCCTCAAGGCTTTAATTAGTATCTTTTGGCCTTTTTATGCTTTTGTTATTTGATTAGCTTAAATTTTTCTTTTCTGAGTGTTCAGTCAAGTTATCTGTACTGACCAGAAGAGGAATTTCATCTTTTGCTTTCTATTTATTACTTGAACATTACTTTAAAGTGACTTATAATTGGAGACTGACAAATTTGTGTTTTCTTCAAACAGATGAAAACTTTATACTCAAACATGACAGAGCGTTCCTTTTGTCAATGGCAAATCGAGGGAAACATACCAATGGTTCCCAGTTTTTCATGTGAGTAGGCATAATTCAGAGATGAGCTTTTCTTAAACAGAGAAGCGCTGTTCATAAGAAAGATGGTATAGTTAAACCAAGTTTAATGCTAAAATTCTGTCAGCTTTATTTTTATTATTAATTTCTAATATCATTGAAACTTAGAACATCTAACAACTGCCTCAGCATTCAGCATATATCCTGGATTGGAAGAATGGGACTTAAAAAACTTAAAATTTACACATTGTTTTCAAAATATACCGTCATCTTCAAAAAAGATGACGGCATATTTAAGCCCCTGTTAAATTTGAGTGCTCACTTACCAAAACTAGATTGGAACATAAACTATTGATGAACATGTAAAAATTGTTCATAGTAGCGGATTCAGTTATTGTACCCCCTCAGCAGGGAAAGCATTTTGAGTAAACCATTGCATGGTTGTTTTTTTCTCTTACTGTTGCTCTTTGAGGCAATTTTGAGAGAGGTACTGTTATTTTCTGATGTTATGTAGAGATAGGTGACCTGCTGTTGAGCATGCATTTTAGAAAACTCAAATTTTATGAAGTCTCCATGCATAATTGAAGTAACCCATTGTTGCTATCATTTCCACCAAAATTTATGAGATTGTCACTCAGGAAACTTAAGAATACTAAATTTGCTTTTGAAAAAGCAAATATATTTACATGTATGTGCATTGCACAATCAAAAACTTACCTTTTTCTTATCTGAAAATTCTAAATAAATCCTTTGGCATACTTTCAGTTATATTCTTATCTAAAGCTGCTTCAAAACCTATTTTTATCATAATTCTGTCATATAAAATATGAAAGATAACTGTCCAGCAGGAGGGTTATTGTTTTTGATTGAAAGTGAATCTCAGTTGTGCTATGTATGTTGGAGAAATATTTCATTAATGATTTATTGAAAACATTTTCTTTGTCATCTTTCTGAATGAATGAGTATGAATAGCGCTTCCCTGTCTTTAAAGGAGTATATTACTGACATATAAAACTCAAATGTTAAATTTTTCTGAAAAATATATTTCTACATGATCTGATAAAGTTCAGATAAGGGGCGTTCTATTCCTAAGAATGTCCTAAAAATGGAAAACTGATAAAAGATTATGCTTAGAATTATACAGGTAAAAGACCTACAACAGTTGTTCTCTTATCTTGTTTTGATCCCATAGGTTATTTGTTATTACTCTTCTTTAATAGAGTGATTTTCTATTCTTAACCTTCTTAAGAGCCAATACAAAGCAGAAAGAAATATTTTCAGAAAGACTTTTTAATAGTAACTTAATGTAAAAATTGTTTATCCTTTGGTTGAGGTTTCCCATTTCCATTTTTAAGCTTATCTGAACTGTGAACATGAAAAACATAATGATTCATTGGTCAAGAAGCTACCATTTGAGGGCTCTAAAGTTTCTTTTAGATTTCCTTTTTTTATATCAGTACAATTAAAATTTATCAAGTAGCAGCAGCTTCTTGATATTGTTGTATACATTAGCTTGTTCATAAAATGTTAGAGTTAAAACTCATTAAAAATGCTATCGTTAAACATACACTAATTAAAATTCAGTATATGAAATTCTCCCTTCAAAAAATCTTATTTTTATTTTATTTAGTACTTGCTTACGTATTTTCTAGGAACATCTAGTAAAGGCCTTTACTGTTTTCTACATGGCCTAATTTTATATTGGACTACAATTTTTGAGGAGGAATGCCAAATAATTTTAAATCAATAAATTGCAATTACAATTTTTACACTTATTTTCAAAGTTAATTTACTTTAGATGGTAGTAAAATCACTGTGAACTTCTGATTGAAAGAAAATTTTTTACTTTTAGTTTGAAATTTCCTTCTAGAAAGGGGTTTGCAGTCCCTTTGCAAAAGAGTAAGCAATCTTGGAAGTAATTGACTATTTAATCCTCCTGTATTTTTTCTAAAGATTTTTGTGTCTGTATACTTTCTTTATGCTGGCTAGAAAGATCAATTCTCAAGAGCTGCAGGATAAAATCAAATTAACGTTCATGTTTCAGAACTAAAACATATACTTGCATTTATGGGAAGGATAGGTAAAAATGGAGATGGTGGCTGATGAAAGAAAAATCTTTGAAACTATGTTTTTACAAGCCCGAAGCCTTTTGGAGTTGAAAGTATTAAAATATGATACGCTGTCTTCAGGTTATGTATATGATCACAGATAATAGCTCTGATGGTCACAGAGCTTGCTGATGGCTTCCAAAGGATGGCTCCTGCCTTTTACCCTGTTACCACAGCTCCTCATATGGCACCTTGAGTGTCAGTTCTGGAATCTGAAAAAGAAAGGATAGTGTAAGAATGGTGGTAAAATAAAAAGAACTGTCTTTATAGTTCCTGCTTTATGAGCTCAATAAGGATTTTTAATACATCATTGCAAAATTGTTTTTGTAGTTTTTGTTACGAATCTGTTACTCTGCAATTCCTAAGGAGTAGATTTGGTGCTGTTAGTGTGGGTATTTGCAAAACATCCCTCAAGGATTCTTGTGTTTTGTACATTAACTACTGTCTTCATTACTTACACATTTAAAAACTCCCCCTTCCTTAGGCATGTGTCATTTTTATTCAACATAATTCTGCTTATATTGCTTTCTTTGGCTGGAACAATTATATACATAATGAAAATCAGATTTTCTTCTATAAATCTATTTGTAATTTTTACAGTAACTTTATTTCTACTACTGTATTTGTTATAATGATTTTGCTCTCGGGGGTCTATATAGAAGAAAACTTGATTCTTTTTGGAATAGTACTGCTCAAGAAATGTGAAGGAAGTGGTGTATGGCACTATCCCCTTGAATCACTAAGGAAACAGTGGTTTTATTTTGAACGTTTTTGAAGGAATTCAAAGACTTGGGACTAAAGCTACCAGGTTAATTTGGTATTTATTTTGTCCTTTGTATTATTTATTTTTTAGGTTAAAGAATAGGAAGAAACCACAATAAAAACTAGAATTATAGAGTCATAGAATGGAAAGGGATTTAGAGATTATCTAGTCCAACCTTTTCTTTCTGTAGATTATGCTAAATTCTTGAAAAAGCATGTAAAGTCCAGGTTATAGAAATTTTATTTATAATCTGGAAGAAACTGATAGCTAGAAAAAGAATCCTGCACACTTATTCATATTATTAATGCTTTTACTATAAATTTAAGCTTATTTAAGCTCAAAATTTTATTAACCACTCTGCTCTGAATTTATTTTAGTTAAGGATTAGAAGCATCAAGCATTTTGCTGGAAAACAAAATGACATTTGGGGAAACATTCTTTCCCCTTTTGCTGTTAGTGATAGCTTATTTATTCTGACTGTAATTGTCATTGTCTTTATATACATTAATAAAAAAGACAAAGATGTTGTATAAAGTAGTCATGAAAAAGATTAAGTAAATAGTTTATAGCTTTGTAGTAAGTAACTTTTGGGATAGGACACTAATATAGCTGTCAGGAAACCTTGATTTTAGTTTTGTATGTAACTTGAGTTAGTTTTTCTTAAACATTGGTATGAAAATATGGATGTAAAAGGAAGAAGGTGTTTTGTAGGGTAGTCCTAAGTGTCTGAATGTGTGGAATGATTTGTGTGCAAACATTGTCTTGCCTAATGGAAATAGTCACAATTGCCTAGTTTTCTTTAGTCTGAAAAATGTCTTAAAGAAGTATTGGGGTCATCTTAAATCAAGAGCAACAGAAGTCTCTTCATCAGCTGCTGTTAAAACATGAGTCTGCACAGCTGTAGAGTAGGTCTGCGGAGCCTGCAAGAACAGTTCCTGTCACTGGCCACTGTCAGTGGTCATTAATAATTATAACAATGTAAGAAAACAAGATAATGTAGAAGAGTCAAACTTTGAACTTTAAACAAAACATGTTTGCTACATTTTAGCAGTCATAAATAGGGCAATGGGGGGGCGGGGCATAAGGAGTTTTAGAATATGTTTTATGTCATTTAAGAATCTGACTTGCAAGTACCTAAATGGGAGAGGAGTGCTGATTATTGCAAAGTAGTGGAGCAAAGAGAGTAGAGGAGTGGTTGGTTTTAAGGGGTTTGTAAAGCTATGTTGACATTTTGGGTAATAAAACTAGATTCGGGGTAGAAATGCTTTTTCTACCCACATATTCATAAACTTATGTAAGAGGAAATGCTAGTAAGTGTTAATAACCTGAGAAGTTCTAGCTTTTTCCTTCCTTTCTTTTGGGGTAATACCTTCATATGTTAACTTCAGATTTTTTGATGAGCTAAGATGTTTGTGAAACTTAGCCATAAACCAAATTCTCTGAATATCAAGTGTCATCCCTAACATCCAGGCTTAATAACTTAATGTTTATGTAACATGTACTAGCAATGTGGAAGAAATTTTTTATCTAGTAATGTTTGGTGTGTATTACCTTAACATTAGTGCTGATTTTTAGAAAGCACTTCTATTTTGGTACCTTTTGGAACACATGGGTAGAGCGTTGTCAAGTGGCTTGGTTAGTTTCCATTACCCTTATACAAGTATTGTCATTCTGTACAATTTGGTGCCTCTTCCCTGGCAGCATGATAGTTTCAGGAGTTGAAGGGAAAGCATCGCATGTTAAAAGCTAAAGTGGACAGAAGTTATCTTTATTTCCCTCTTCCATACTACTTTACACCTACAGTCACTTATTTGTTTTTTTTGCAACATTCATTGAAAACTCCACATTATTTCAAACATTATGTTCTTTTTTGACACTTATTCATGTTGTCAATGCCTTTATGATAAATTTAAGCTTATTTTTAAATATTTCAAGATTTATTACATTCAAGACTCTTATAAAGCATTTTGTTCATGGTATAATAGTATTTTGATCTGAGTAGTAATAGATTTATTTGTTTAAATACAGATAAAAATTAGTCAGTGTGTGTTCTCCGAAAAAAATTGTTCATAATGGGGAAAATCAGAGATTAGACAGGAAAAGAAGATATGGTGGCTAAGATTTGACTGCACTTATGCTTTCATCTCTCTTGCCTTTTTATTCTCTGAGAAGGTCCCTGAAATTGTAGTTAGTTATGCTACTTTATTATTATGTTCAGTGACTTAACTTCAGTGTGCATCTAATGTCGCTGAATAGTAACTAGGATCCATACATTTGCTCGTTAACTTCTGAAAGTAGTCTGTTGTGGTATGTCACCAAAGGTTTCAAATGTAGAAGCATGGAAGATTCTTTAACTGTTTGATGTGAGTTAGTTAAAAGTTCCTTGAAATTTTGTTTTGGATGATCTTAACTCACTTTTTTCTAATTAAATTTTTGCTTTCAACTGGTAGTAACTGCTCCTGGGCATTCAGATTTTTTATATCTATGTATGTATTCAAGATGCACTATTCTCTTTTGAGAAAATATTGTCTTAGCTAATTTCTGGGATTTGTGAAAGGAAATGTAATATGTTAATAGCTATTATTGGCACTCTGTGTTACAATATTAAGGATCTAAATAGATTCCCACTTAGCCACAATGCTTTTCTTAAGCATAATTCATCTCTATGTAAATATCCCATATGAAAGAAAATTTAGAGCCCTCCATTTAAAAAAGCTTTCTTGCTCTGCATAAAACTTGAAAATATTTAATTTCAAAGTTATATTGATATTAAAACATAGATTCAGTCTTGTCTTAAAAGTGTATTACAATTTATTTCTTGCCATTTTTGTGTAAAATTTACAGAAAGAGTGTTACACCGTGCGCTCCAAAGGTAATGTCTCATTACTCTAAGGCTCTCTCTCTTTCTTTGCCTTTATCTCTTTAATTCTGTTGTTATGTGCATTGAAACATTTTAAGAAAAAAAAAAAAACTTTCTGCTTTATCTATATAGCAGCAGTACATGTAAAACAAGTGCGTTTTATTTTTCATGTTTAATCCTGGGAACTGTATTTTAACTTCAGTGGCTCGTTTCCACCAAGTTCCTGTACATCTTCTGTTGGGGGAGTGGGGTTATAGTTTATAGTATGGTTTTAGTTCTCATTTCAGTGTGGAATTAGTCATTTCTGTATAAGGGCAAAATCTTATCTGATAACGGTATAAAACTATAGATTGGTTTTGGAGTAGCAGTGACACTGTCAATTTCTAGGATTTATAAGGCTTAAATACCTTGTACACATGTTTTTTAAAGTAGATTCAGGGGTTGGGGAAACTGAAAAATCACTGTCTCTAAGTAAAAGAGAAAATAGAAATGCATAAATATTGAAAGGTTTTATAATTTGAAATGTTCTTTCTGGTTTTTTCTTTTTTAGGTGTGTTTTCATAAGCATATATAAATTTGAAACATTTTTCATAGCCTCTGACCTTAACTTACTGAGCATGTGTCACCATTGCACAACTCTTTAAACAGCTGCTTTTAAGATCAATGCAATTTTTTTTTCCATTGAGAGTTCTGAAAGATTAAGAGTTAGTGAGATGAACTCTCTGCTTCTTTTAGTAGAATTGAGTAGTCTGGACTGTGCGTATTAGTTCTCTCTGCCCTTTTGTAACCCTCTTTGGCTAATGTCCTCTGTTCATCCGTGTATTAGCCAAGTGCCAGTAACCCTGCTTTACATTGGGATTTCTACTCCTGGAATATAGGTTGAGAACCCCAGAGGGCTTCTTTTTGTTAAATATTTTTAGTATTCTTAATATGTAATTTAATCCAATTAAAGTACAAACTTATATTTCTGTATCTTGAGTTGCAGATGCAAGTAATGGACTTAAATCATTCACATCAGATTTAGGCACCATGGGCAGGCTGAGTTGTCCTTGAAAGAGTCATTCCTGTCTTCATTTGTTTTCTGCACTACTACAATAAAGGACCAAGTTTGCCTATTCTTGGCAGTTTTCATTTGAACGAAAAACTAAATTTGAATGTCATAAAGATAGCTATTCCATCCTCAAATTGAATCTCAAGTAGTATGTTGCTGCATCACTACGTTACTCTGGAATGTTTTATTTCACCATTTTCTCCAAAGGTTTGCCATAAAGTGGTTTTTACAGCCTTTCTGTTAGCCAGGATGGCAAATTGAATTGGGCTCTTTATGTTTTAAGTAAAATTTGCAGGCTTTCCCCAATACTACAGGATCTGTGAGTTACGGGAGAAAGGATCAAGGAAGGAGAAGGAGCGTATCTAATCTGGAAACCATACATTGTTTTTACTTCTACATATTTGGGGCTGACCCCTTACATTGTAGAAAAATTTACTTTTTTAAAAGCACTCTTGGCTGGGCGTGGTGGCTCACGCTTATAATCCCAGCACTTTGAGAGGCCGAGGCAGGCAGGCAGATCACCTGAGGTCAGGAGTTTGAGACCAGCCTGGCCAACATGGTGAAATCCCGTCCTACTAAAAATACAGAAATTAGCCGGGCCTGGTGGCGCATGCCTGTAATCCCATCTACTCAGTAGGCTGAGGCAGGAGAATCACTTGAATCTGGGAGGCAGAGGTTGGAGTGAGCTGAGATCGCGCCATCGCACTCCAGCCTGGGCAACAGAGTGAGACTCCATCTCAAAATAAACAAATAAAAATAAAAGCACCCTTTACATCTTTCATATAATAGAATCACTAGCTTCTGTACAAATTTCTTGTCTTTAGTGTACTTTGGTAAAGTTTTATAATTAAAGCACATTTCTATCTTGAAGTTACCATCCAAGGTGGTTTCTGGATGCTAGTTTAATGGTTTAAACACTAGTGGCTCATTAATTCACTAGATAGTTTTTGTTTTGTTTTCTTTTTGCTGGCTGTTTTTATTTTTATAATTACATTGGCGTGAATTTCCACTTTTCAATCTTCTAAGGAATATTTGAGATTTGTGCTTTTAAAACTTGATGTTTTCTTTAAAATTCTGGAACTTCTTAAGTTGACATTTTAATTTTTTTAAATTAAATTCTGTAGTGCTCTTACAGAACTGAATATTCTTAATGTAAGTATAAGCGTTACAAATCCTTGTACAATAAATATTTTTAGCATTGTTACGAAGGTTAAAAACTGGGTTTTGTTCACTTACATGTCTTAAAATTGCCTTAAAATGAATACAAAAATTTATGTGGGAGCTTCTAGTACAGTTCACTGCTTTAACATGGCCTGACATCTAGTGATACTTTTCTCTTTCAAATTTTCTATCTCTTATATATCTGTTTCTCATTCTTATAAATCAAGATTCTTGTGGTATATAATTCTGAGTCTAATTATCTGCTTTTGAATTTTTTCTACTGCAATTCATATAATGTGAAGATCTGTGAAAATGCTATGGGAAAACTAGCTTGGGTTCAAAATATCTTAACCAAATGTACCCTGTAGGCTTCCCAAGAGTGACTGTCTGACAGTTGGTGACTGTAGAAGAAGCCAGTTGGGTGTTTTCTGGGCCATGGAAATTTAAAATGTCTGTAATGTTATCCATCATTACTTTGCTGTCAGAAGGGATGGCAGATTGAAGCTTTTCTCCCTATCGCATTTTCAGAGTTGCTGTTTCAGAGCTTCACCTTGGGTGAAGAAAGATGGGCAGGAATTCTGGAAACAGAACTCCTAAGACCTACCTCTGTCTTGCCTGCCTAAAAATGTGCACTGACTCAGTATGAGAAATAACAAATAAGAAAACATTAAGTGTGTGAGGCAAATGTTAATCACACTTTCTTTCCATAGGGCAAATAAGAGGTGCTTTTCTTATTTAATTATGCTGATAAATTTTGAGAACTTTTTTTTAAAGTGTTTTGTTTTGTTGTTTTGGATTTGAGAATAACTTTAACGTGTGTTCATGCTGTATATTTATGGCTATAAGTCAAATCAAACTGATTTCATATATATACATATATGTAATCTAATAGAGATGATTGTAATTCATTATAATTTTGAGTTTTTTAAATTAGTAAAATGGCTACTATTGCTGTTTTGGGGTTTTTAAGGTTAGATGTATATCATGTTTAACTTTTTCCCCTATCTTTTTATCTTTACTTCTTTGTTCTCTACATGCTGTGTTTAAACCTTTCTGCTCTCTTCACCTGAACACATCGTGTTTGACATCATCTTTATGTTGGTGTTTATTACATAGTACCACAAAGCCTGCTCCACACCTGGATGGGTAAGAGTTACATTCTTACTACATTGGGGAAGTGTTTGGGTGGCCAGCCATAAAAAGAGAGTGGACCATGGTTGAGCCCTCAAGGGAGCCCTCTTAATGGCTGGCTTAATCTCATAGCCAAACTATTCTTTAGAATCACAGAATATAGTCGTTTTGAAACCCCATGGCTCTCATGTCACTGAAGGAGTTAATCTGTGCTCAGGGATGGCCTTCTCAGCAATATAATTCTTTTTTTTTTTTTTTTCTGTTTTCCAAAATGGGTCAGGTAGTAAGCAGTACAATTTGAGATGTCCCTGTAAGGAAAGTTTCCAAGTACCAAGTGCAAGTGAAGTCTGAATGTTACAGAATCTTTACCCTAAAATGGTTAAGAACCATTGTATTAAAGGCAGAAAACCGAAGCCCAGTTTGCATAATGGTTTCCTTTTATGAAGCAGATTTCAATTTCTCATTCCATTCTAGTTGCTTCCTACAACAGACAGTTTGGTTTTATTTTCAGGTCTGTGGACATGTCATTGATTACAGTTAATTGTCTTGATTACTGTTTAGAGCTTAATTATCATCAAACCAATTGTTTCTTGAATTTGCATTATGACAGGGTGCATGTCGTCTTTGGACTGGTTATTTCTGGTTTTGAAGTAATCGAACAAATTGAAAATCTGAAAACCGATGCTGCAAGCAGACCATATGCAGATGTGCGAGTTATTGACTGTGGAGTACTTGCCACAAAATCAATAAAAGATGGTAAGAACTGTTTTGACAGTAGATGAAGCTGAGCCACAGGTACAGCATTGTTGAAGACTGTAACTAGATTTGAGTAGTGGAATTAGTGGCATAGCAATAGCCCTTGGTGCCTCTGAATCAGACCTTACACATTTAATCTTTTAGTATATCTTGTCAAATCTTACTTTTTCTTACTTCCCTTGCCACCAGCCTGATCCAAACCACCAGTATTTTGTGTCTGGATTATTGCCGTAGCGTTATAACTGTTTACCTTGCCTCTGTCCTATAATCCTTTGTCAGCAGCAGTAGCCTCCTAACTGGTCTCATTGCTTATATCCTAGGCCCGCTATGGTGTGTTCTTAACAGCAACCAGAGTGATCCCTTTGAACCATAGTTTGCATTCATGTCACGCCTGCACAGAACCCTCCGAGGACTCCCTTCTTCAATCATCCAAAGCAGAAGTCTTTACGGTGGTCTCTAAGGCCCTGGCTGGTCCAGCTGTCTGCCGTCTCTTTAAACTCTTCCCTTATTCATTGCCTTCCAGGCACATTGACCTTTTTTCAGACATGCCAAACACTCAGGTTCTTTGTGCTGCCTATTCTCTTTGTCCGGAACAGCCTTCGTTAAGATATCTGCATGACACCGTCCCTTGCTCCTTTAAGTCTCTGTTCAAATGTTGTGTTAAACTACCCTAATCTTCCTATTCCCTTTACACTGCTTTATTTTTCTGTCTTAGCACTTATCATTTGTCATATTATGCAATTCTTTTTTTTTTTTTTTTTTTTGAGACAAGAGTCTTGCTCTGTTGCCCAGGCTGGAGTGCAGTGGCACTGTCTCGGCTCACTGCAACCTCCACCTCCTGGGTTCAAGTGATTCTCCTGCCTCAGCCTCTGGAGTAGCTGGGATTATAGGCATGCACCACCATGCCTGGCTAATTTTTGTTATTTTTAGTAGAGACATGGTTTCACCATGTTGGCCAGGCTGGTCTAGAACTCCTGACTTCAAGTGATTTGCTCACCTTGGCCTCCCACAGTGCTGGGATTACAGATACGAGTTGCTGCACCAGTCCTATTTCTTGTTATTTGACCCAACCAGAATATAGGCTTCATAAAGACAAGCGAGTTATTTCCTTACAATCTTGCCAGTAATTTTATTATAAACTTGAAAAAAGCTGTCTATACTTAATTTTTTGTTTGCTGTATGTAAAGCATATTTTATGATATTCAGTAAACACATTTTTTACTCTGAAAGGTAGGCACTGAAGTTTAGTACTAATGTTTTTATTAATGTTTCTTAAAAGTTTTTGAGAAAAAAAGGAAGAAACCAACTCATTCAGAAGACTCGGATTCCTCTTCCAATTCCTCTTCCTCTTCAGAATCATCTTCAGAAAGTGAAATTGAACATGAGAGAAGCAGAAGGAGGAAACATAAGAGGAGGCCAAAAGTTAAACGTTCTAAAAAGAGGCGAAAGGAAGCAAGCAGTTCAGAAGAACCAAGGAATAAACATGTAATGAATCCAAAAGGGTATGTGTAAAACACCAATGTACTCTTACCTAAAAACAAACTCTCTGGAATGGGAAAAGTATGTATAATTCTATAAACTCAATTTTATTACCTGTTACTGAAAAAGGATAGCATTTTTTAAACTTTATCTAAATTGAAATCTGGCAAATCTAGGGGTAGGCAGCATAGGCATTTCATCTCCAAGATTTGTGTGTTTTCAGTTTTCAGGTCAAAATAGTCCTAAGAATTCTTTTTTTTTTTTTGAGACGGAGTCTCGCTCTATTGCCCAGGCTGGATGGAGCGCAGTGGTACGATCTCGGCTCACTGCAAGCTCTGCCTCCCGGGTTCACGCCATTCTCCTGCCTCAGCCTCCCAAGTAGCTGGGACTACAGGCGCCTGCCACCATGCCCGGCTAATTTTTGTATTTTTAGTAGAGATGGAGTTTCACTGTGTTAGCCAGGATGGTCTCGATCTCCTGACCTTGTGATCTGCCTGCCTCGGCCTCCCAAAGTGCTGGGATTACAGGCGTGAGCCACCGCCCCCGGCCTTTTTCTTTTTTTCTTTTTTTTTTTTATTTAAGAGATAAGGTCTTGCTCTGTTACCTAGGCTGGAATACAGTGGCACAATTATAGCTTACTGCATCCTCCACCTCCCGGGCTCAAGAGATCTTTCTGCATCAGCCTCCTGAGTAGCTAGGACTGCAGGCGTGTACCACTATGTCTGGCTAATTTTTAAATTTTTTGTAGAGACAGGATCTTCCACTATGTTGAACAGGCTGGTCTCTGACTCCTGGCCTCAAGCAGTCCTCCCACCTAAGACCCCTAAAGTACTGGGATTACAGGTGTGAGCCACAATGCCTGACCTGGAACTCTTAAAATAAAAAAGTTAGGATCATTTACCAATTTTCCTATCAAAATTCTAGTCTTTGGGTTTTTCACTGGGTTGATATATTTTCTCTTTGTGAAAATCATGTAACTCTTTTGAGTGAGACTTGTAAGCTATCATTAATTATGCTGTTGTTTCAGTGTCTAATTTTATGTGCTTTTATTATGAAATGCAAACATTATACATTTTAATCAGCGACTTGGTTTGTTCAAAGTCACTCTGAGAGGAGTGATACCAATGAAAAAAGGTCAGTTGATTCCAGTGCTAAAAGGGAAAAACCTGTGGTCCGCCCAGAAGAGATTCCTCCAGTGCCTGAGAACCGATTTTTACTGAGAAGAGATATGCCTGTTGTTACTGCAGAACCTGAACCGTAAGTAGGATGACTACACTATATATTTTTATTTCTCTGAGACACAGTTCTGTCAGCTCATTGCATTCCACACTCATGTATGGAACATGATCCATGTTTGAAGCACATTGAAAGATACTATGGGAGTATTAGATTAATGAATGATATGTAGGAAATATGGGAGATACTAGATTATTGAGTGATATGTACCGTATCTTTCAGAATTCACATTCTAGTAGGGAGAGGAGGTTGGGCAAGTTGGTCAGGGAAGCCCTTATTGGTGATCTGGAAAGATTTTATTCCTGATCTTCTTGCCTTTGCCTTTTATTAAAGGGGTAAGGTTTTAGTTATCAGAATAGAGAGTTAGTTGAATTCTTCAGATCCATTTGAGTGATGAAGCATGCTTTCCAATTTGAATAGTGCATAATTAATTGGTGAGTGGAGATACAATTTAGTATCATAAATAAGTTACTTTTGTCAACTTGTTCAACGATTATTTCTCTGCATTGGAAGAGTGAATGTGTCGCTTTAGATTTAATCTGAGAAAATAGTATTTAATGTATTTTGTGTATTAGACTAAAGTTTAGAATTATTAAAAGAAGATGTTTCATGAACGGAAATACCATAATGGCTGGTGTTATTGATAAGTTCCCTATGAAGAGTTATTTTGAAAGCTGAAAAGTATGAGTCCTTGTTTATAATTAGGTCTCTGCATAAAGTTATTTAGTTTATTAAATATTTTTAAAGCCTGATATTGTCCTGTTTTAAAAAGTGATTGCAAAATGGCATGTATCTTTGAATTAATAGCTTAACATAATATGTTTTCATTATTAAAAATTGTAGCTTCTTTGCTTACTTTTAATTTTCATCACAATCTTCTTTTCCTAGGAAGATTCCTGATGTTGCACCCATTGTAAGTGATCAGAAACCATCTGTATCAAAGTCTGGACGGAAGATTAAAGGAAGGGGCACAATTGTATGTGTGATAAGACTTTTTTTGAAATTATGTATCTAATAAAAGATTTTTACCTATTGTTAAAATCCTAGCTTTAATTTTAGATATAATACAAAATGTGTTCAAGGAACTAATTGTATTTTCCATGGTTATGGGAAGGTATTGCTGTTAGAGCAAAGTATACTGCTGTGTTTGAATGGGTTTAATTGAGTATGAAAGGAGGAACATGTGAAACCATCAGTGAGTATGCTGAGAAATCATTAAGACTTTAAAGAGGAAAATTTTATGTGGATTACAGGTGAATCTCAGCCTTGCCCATCTCTTTTAATGCCTTGTTTGAAATAACTTCACCTGAACCTAATATAAAAGTTAAAAAAAAAAAGGAAGAACTTTAGACCATCCTTTTGGTAACTTAAATCATTACCTTTGATGGGATGATCTGAGATTGGGTCTTTTACTTAACTCTGTCATATAGCAGACTGTTGTGGAGAGGCATTTTTAAAAATAGTATTCTTTTTGTTTTTAAAGCGCTATCACACACCTCCAAGATCAAGATCCTGTTCTGAGTCAGATGATGATGACAGCAGTGAAACTCCTCCTCACTGGAAAGAGGAAATGCAGAGATTAAGAGCATATAGACCACCTAGTGGAGAAAAATGGAGTAAAGGAGATAAGTAAGAACTTTGAGTAAAAGCACAATCCTGTGTCTGTTATATTTTAAGTGTTAAAGGGATTGGATACAATTCTGGACTTTTCATTAAAGAGTCAATGAAAGATTCACAGTCAGAATTAGACAGTGTCCAAAGGAAATACATTTGGGACTACTTGGTGAAAGTAGTACTCTTAACTAGTTGGGCTTTTCAATCAAAATCCTGTTTTCCTTAAACAAAAACTATAAGCCTGTATCTTTTAATGACCTCTTAGTCAATTTTAGAAATAATTAGGACTTAGAAATTATATAGCAGATTCTTTCCTAGCCAGCCAGGTCACTGATGAGTTCATTGGTAAATGGGAAAACTGCACTCGGTGTGCATGTTGACTTTTGATCTCAGAGACTGTTGCTTTTTCAGAAGTGTACACATCTCTTACCTTCAGTACTGTCCCACAGTGGAATATTTATTTTAGGAAGGGGACAGGCTGCAGAATAGCTAGTGAAAAATATGCTAATGGGACCCTGTGTGATCCTCCATGGTAGTATTCTCTTTTTCTCTGGGGGCATCCTGCAGAGTGGTTTGGGATTGGGAAAAGGAGGAAAAGGAATGCATCTGCTGTGTAGAAGTGGCTCAGACACAGTGGTGCTGAGGACTTTCAATTCTGAGCCTTGACATAAACGCTCAGATTGTATAGCCTGTATCTGTTTTCGTGTACTTTTTCCTCAATTTCTTTTTTAAGTAGTTTACAGTCTTAGGGGAAATCTGGATTACCTCTATGAGGCCGAGAAAAAACAAGCTTCATGCTAGTTTCAGGCAGCTATCCTGCATCTTAAGAAAATCAACAAATTGTTTAAGACCTTGGTTTGACTCACCCTCAAAAACTGTTCTGAGAGGCAGAGGGTTGTAAGCAGGTAACAGCCAGAAACTCTTGTGATTGAGTTCAGCAGTATTCTTGTGATTAGTTGGTTTGGTTTTCAAACACATTTTCCTAACAAATGTAAGGTTCTTTGCTTAGCTTAAAAAAAAAAAAAAATCCTTTTATAAGTGAATTTGTTAGTAGTTCTCAGTGTGTGTCTCTGAAAGCATAACAAGACCAGGCCTATAACTCTGATTTATGCTTCCTGCGTGTGCTTAAAGTGTTAATGGGGTCAGGAACTTTGTTGTTAACAAAGCTGTGTCTTAGGCGTAGAAAACATGCTTATAAATCACCGCATGAATATTATGTCCTTTCTATAGGTTAAGTGACCCCTGTTCAAGTCGATGGGATGAAAGAAGCTTGTCCCAGAGATCCAGATCATGGTCCTATAATGGATATTATTCAGACCTTAGTACAGCAAGACACTCTGATGGCCACCATAAAAAACGCAGAAAAGAAAAAAAGGTTAAGCATAAAAAGAAAGGGAAAAAGCAGAAACATTGCAGAAGACACAAACAAACTAAGAAGAGAAGGATTCTTATACCGTCTGACATAGAATCCTCAAAATCTTCCACTCGAAGAATGAAATCCTCTTGTGATAGAGAAAGGAGTTCTCGTTCTTCCTCATTATCGTCTCATCACTCATCAAAGAGAGACTGGTCTAAATCTGATAAGGATGTCCAGAGCTCTTTAACCCATTCCAGCAGAGACTCATACAGATCAAAATCTCACTCACGGTCTTATTCTAGAGGAAGCTCAAGATCAAGGACTGCGTCAAAGTCCTCATCACAGTCTCGAAGTAGATCAAAGTCCAGATCTAGTTCCAAGTCTGGGCACCGAAAGAGAACATCAAAATCACCAAGAAAACCAGCTTCTCAGTTAAGTGAAAATAAACCAGTTAAAACAGAACCTTTAAGATCAACCATGGCACAAAATGAAAATGTAGTAGTACAACCAGTTGTAGCAGAAAATATTCCTGTAATACCACTGAGTGACAGTCCCCCCCCTTCAAGATGGAAGCCTGGACAGAAACCTTGGAAGCCCTCTTATGAGCGAATTCAGGAAATGAAAGCTAAAACAACCCATTTGCTACCCATCCAAAGCACTTACAGTTTAGCAAATATTAAAGAGACTGGTAGCTCATCATCCTACCATAAAAGAGAAAAAAATTCAGAAAGTGATCAGAGCACTTATTCAAAATACAGTGATAGAAGTTCAGAAAGCTCACCAAGGTCAAGGAGCAGATCTTCTAGGAGTAGATCTTATTCCAGATCATATACAAGATCACGTAGTCTAGCTAGTTCACATTCAAGGTCTAGGTCTCCATCATCTAGATCTCATTCACGAAATAAATACAGTGATCATTCACAGTGTAGTAGATCATCTTCATATACTTCTGTTAGCAGTGATGATGGAAGGCGAGGTAAGAGGAGACTTAGATCCAGTGGGAAAAAAAATAGTGTTTCACATAAAAAACACAGCAGCAGCTCTGAAAAGACACTTCACAGTAAATATGTCAAAGGTAGAGACAGGTCTTCATGTTTGAGAAAGTATAGCGAGAGCAGATCATCTTTAGATTATTCTTCAGACAGTGAGCAGTCAAGTGTTCAGGCTGCACAGTCAGCCCAGGAGAAAGAAAAGCAGGGCCAAATGGAAAGAACACATAATAAACAAGAAAAAAACAGAGGTGAAGAAAAATCCAAGCCTGAACGGGAATGCCCTCATTCAAAAAAAAGAACTTTGAAAGAGAATCTTTCTGATCACCTTAGAAATGGCAGTAAGCCCAAAAGGAAGAATTATGCTGGTAGTAAATGGGACTCTGAGTCAAATTCAGAACGAGATGTAACTAAAAACAGTAAAAATGACTCCCGTCCATCCTCTGACAAGGAGGAAGGTGAGGCCACATCCGATTCTGAATCAGAGGTTAGTGAAATTCACATCAAAGTGAAACCCACAACCAAGTCGTCTGCAAATACTTCACTGCCTGATGATAATGGTGCTTGGAAATCAAGCAAACAGCGCACATCAACTTCTGAGTCTGAGGGGTCCTGTTCCAATTCGGAAAACAATAGAGGAAAGCCACAAAAGCACAAACATGGGTCAAAGGAAAATCTTAAAAGAGAACACACCAAAAAAGTGAAAGAGAAATTGAAAGGGAAAAAAGACAAAAAGCACAAGGCTCCAAAACGAAAGCAAGCATTTCACTGGCAGCCTCCACTCGAATTTGGCGAAGAGGAGGAGGAGGAGGAGATTGATGACAAGCAAGTTACTCAGGAGTCAAAAGAGAAAAAAGTTTCTGAAAACAGTGAAACCATAAAAGATAATATTCCAAAACCTGAGAAATCCTGTGAAGAGGGCAACCTTTCAGGTAAACATAATACAGTGACTGTTACCTCAGATCTTGATCAGTTTACTAAAGATGATAGTAAACTCAGTATTTCTCCCACAGCTTTAAATACTGAGGAAAACGTGGCCTGTTCACAAAACATTCAGCATGTTGAAGAAAGTGTTACCAATGGAGTGGAAGATGTGCTTCAAACAGATGACAACATGGAGATCTGTACTCCTGAGAGGAGTTCCCCAGCAAAGGTAGAGGAGGCTTCCCCTCTAGGAAATGCACGGCTTGGTACCCCAGATATAAACATTGTTCTGAAGCAGGATATGGCAACAGAACATCCTGAAGCAGAGGTGGTAAAACAGGAAAGCAGCATGTCTGAAAGTAAAGTGTTGAGTGAAGTGGGGAAACAGGACAGCAGCTCTGCTAGCTTGGCTAGTGCTGGAGAAAGTACCGGGAAGAAGGAGGTGGCTGAGAAGAGCCAGATCAACCTCATTGATAAGAAATGGAAGCCCCTGCAAGGTGTGGGGAACCTGGCAGCACCTACTGCTGCCACATCCAGTGCTGTGGAAGTTAAGGCATTGACCACTGTGCCTGAAATGAAACCACAAGGTTTGAGAATAGAAATTAAAAGCAAAAATAAAGTTCGGCCTGGGTCTCTCTTTGATGAAGTAAGAAAGACAGCACGCTTAAACCGTAGACCAAGAAATCAGGAGAGTTCAAGTGATGAGCAGACGCCTAGTCGGGATGATGATAGCCAGTCCAGGAGTCCAAGTAGATCTCGAAGTAAATCTGAAACCAAATCAAGACACAGAACAAGGTCTGTCTCCTACAGTCACTCAAGAAGTCGATCGAGAAGCTCCACATCATCTTATCGGTGAGCAATATTCTCTTTCCTTCTCCCAAAGAGAGTCTGTTAATGTTTAGCTTGGAAGAATATCAGAATTGGGGACAGAATCACTATTTCCAAATATCTGAAAAGAATAAGAAGTCTTGTTTTGTGTGATTCAAAGAGTAGATTGAGGACTTAGGGAGAGGGAATTTCAGGAGGAGAAATTTGGGCTGGGTTTACAAAACTCTATTACTATCAATTTAAAGCTCTCTGTCACTAGAAATGAGTTCCCATGATAGTTGGTAAATTCTCCATCTTGAAAGGTGAGGCTGCTTCTTGCCAGTCAGCAATGCCTTAGAAGGGAATCCTGAATTGATAGAATATATAGAATTTGCAGATCATTAATCTAACCTTCCATTTTACGCATGTGGAAGGTGAGGGCCAGAGAGGCAAAATTACCTGCCCAAGACTTGAGTCTTAGTTTAGATGTGGGATAGGGATAAACACGATCATCTTTAGGTTTTTTTGTTATTGTTTGAAAAGCAATAAAAGAATTTAAAACACCTTTTCCTCAACTTTGTCACTCTGCACCTTCATGAAAAGGTTTTTTGTTATTGTTATAAATTGCATCATAACTTGTCAGCGTAGAATGGATAACAGATGAGAATTAAAAACTAAAAATATTTGTGATGGTAATAGGAAGTTGTTAAGCAGTTGTGTTGCATTCTTTTTCTTGTAAATATTTTATGGTTTTACCTGTTTCTTAATTATTCATATCCCTTATTATATTGTGCTTGATACTCATCATTTGAACTGAAAATACCGTAAGAATCTTTGACATGTTTTTCCTTTCTAGTCATTCATCAGTCTTTCTTCCCTTGCCTACCCAGACTTCTTAAAAAAGGAACTGCCACATGCCATCTATACTCGGTCTCCCATTTTCTCCTCGGCTGTGTGCTTGCTGCCTTCTGTGCCTTTCCCTCCCTGCATCTCTTAGTTTACTGACTTAAGACTTTCAGGTACTTCCGATGGCCAGTGCTGTGGCATATTTTCAGCCTCACTGCTGGAGCCCTCTGCTAGCTCTCCTTTCTCCTACTCAGGCCATTTCGTCCTTGTGTTACCAGCTTCTCTTCCTCCTCGTGGCCTTTCCTCTCTGAGTTCCTGTTGCTAGATGTAGTCGCCTGTTGAGTGACTCCAGCTTCCTATCTGCTTATGATCCACCTTACCATTTACACAGAGACAGCTCTGAGCTATTAGTGATGCTGGCCACTCTTCTCATTTACCTTCCCACCTCTGCCTTGGAGTGGGTGGTATTGCAGTTTGTAATGAAGACAGCAAGGCATAGAAAGGCTCAGGGACTTGTTCTAGGCTATGTAGCTAACAGGTAGTAGACTGAGAGGGATAAGCCTGAGTGCTGCCCTGCCTCCCTGTTTTGGTTACCTGCCTGGGCCTGACACCCCCATTAAGCTGCGAACTCCTTGAAGTCAGGAACTGTGTCTTACTCATCAGTCAGTCACCTCATAGGGTCTGGCTTTATTATTTTTGGTTGAATAAAAGACTACGATCTTATTAGAACATGATGTATTCATTTTCTTGCAGATATACTGGAAGCAGGTCAGTCTTCCAAAACATAAGTGCATACTGAATAAAACCTGTGGTGATATTACATAATGTCACCTATACACAGAGGTATTGTTCTGTTCCTGAATGACAGGCTTAAAGTAGGGGAGAAGGGTGGGGAGCCAAGTGAATGCAGAGGGGCAGAATTGTACTGCTTACATTTTTGCTTGTTTTATTAAGTGTTAGACATAAAAAATGATTAAAGTATAAAAAACTATATAATACATACTCATGTACCTGCCATCTAGCTTAAAAAAATAGAACTTTGGGCCGGGTGGGGTGGCTCACGCCTGTAATCCCAGAACTTTGGGAGGCCGAGGTGGGCAGATCACGAGGTCAAGAGTTCGACACCAGCCTGACCAACATGGTGAAACCCCGTCTCTACTAAAAATACAAAAATTAGCCAGGCGTGGTGGTGCATGCCTGTAATCCCAGCTACTCAGGGGACTGAGGCACTAGAATCACTTGAACCTGGGTGACGGAGGTTGCAGTGAGCCAAGATCACGCCACTACACTCCAGCCTGGGTGACAGAGTGAGACTCCTTCTCAAAAAAAAAAAAAAAATAGCGCTTTGATGTACCACTGCCACCCCTAGTTGCACGCCTATGTCCCAAAGTTAACCATTATTCTAAACTTTGGTTATAATTTTGTCTTTATCGTTTTACCCCAAATGTTTCTATCTTCATACAATGTTATGTTTGTATTTTTTATAAATAAAATACTTTTATATATATAGATGTTCTACATTTGCCTTCTTCATTCAACATTGTATTCTAGAGATATATGTCTCTACCTTAATTTTTTTAACCCATTCTACCATTGGTGGAGATTTGGTTTATTTTCTTCTCAGTGTTATTGGTGTTATAAATCAGTCTTCTATGCACATACTTGTGCCAGCCTTTTCTTGTTTTTCTTCATTTTCTTCTGTTTGATTTTAGCCATGGTTGTTTTGAGATTTCCTCATTAGCTGACGCTGTCACATCCACTGTCAGGAGTTTGTGAGAGGCTTTCTTCTTGTGTTTTCCTCTTCCTGCCCTACCAGTAATTAATTTTAATATCATGGTGAGTTAACATAATTATATATTTTTTCAATTGCTTTAATTGTAGATCAAGAAGCTACTCTAGAAGTCGGAGCAGAGGATGGTACAGCAGAGGCCGAACCAGAAGCCGGAGCAGTTCCTACCGGAGTTACAAAAGTCATAGGTGAGCTTGTGATCTCGCTCTGTGATGTGGTCTCCATCATGTCCACTTTTTAAGGCTATACAGATAGAGGGGGTAGTTGTTGAGAAGAATCATGTCATTACTGAATATAATACTGGCCTATTTTCTCATGTAGCTTTTTCTGTGAAAGAGCTGTGGAATTCTTGACTATTCCTCTGTTGGGATCTTATCAGTGAGACAAGAGAAGCAGTAGAAATATTTAAGAAGCCTTGACCCCTACCTCCACCTCCCCCACATGCATCTTCCTTAACCTAAGTTTTACATCTGCATTTACCTCTTGACATGGGTTAGAGATTGGGATAGGAAGATTGTAGAGAGGGGACCAAGAGGAAGAAGCATATATATTGGGGGAAGGGTGGCCCCAGATTTCTAGTTCTCCTAGCTGCTTTCCCTCTTTTGCCTCTGAGGTATTTTCTACTGCTGTCACTTCACTTTACTTAACAGAGGTCCTGCCTGTACAGACCTTTCCCCTAACTCCACCCAGTTTAGAGCCTCCCTAGTGACTTTATATGCATCTCAGAGAAGAACTGCATAAAACTTCATCTTAGGAAATCCAATAGGCTTTTTAGAAAATCCAATATACTTTTGATATGAAAACAAAACAAATGTAGCTGTGGGATTTCACTGTATTTTCACCTTGGTGGGCAAAGAAATGTCTAGATATTTGGTATAGCCCATCCTGCCCTGATCTATAAGATGATGGTCCTTCATGTGATTAATATTAGGACGTCCAGCAGGAGCAGATCCAGGAGCAGCTCATATGATCCCCACAGTCGGTCCAGGTATGAACAGGGATTGGGTAACCATCAGTGGGGCAGAACTGAAAGATCTTGTTTTATAAACTGTTAGTTCAAAGTGGTATTTTATTGAGTAACTAAATGCATATATTTGTCTCCTGAAACCATACCTTTTCTAAATGAAGTCTTTTTGACAAGTTTTATCTGTTGGCCCATTGTACTCCAGTATCAAAAATGACAGTATCAAATTGTAATGGCAGGTGTTTATTGAATATAATTGCCTACAAAGATCCACCAGATTTAAACTAACTCGTTAATTTTATGGTATTTTTCAACGCAGGAAAGAAATTAAAATTTTTCTCTTTAATTATGTTAAGTCTCATTTGGGGGCAATTGTTAAATGTTTCCAGTACTTGTTTTGGAAATATATCCTCACGCTGTCACTAGTGCCCATGTTCTAAGCTAGAACACTCCTAAGATCCTAAAAAGAAATAGGAACATATGAGTATTTGAGTGGGAAAATTTAGTGTTTGTTGTTGCTGTTAAAGCAGGTCCTACACCTACGATAGCTACTATAGCAGGAGTCGGAGTCGAAGTAGAAGCCAGAGAAGTGACAGTTACCACCGAGGCAGAAGTTATAATCGGCGGTCCAGGTGGGTCTCTCTCCTTTATCATCCGTTATCGCACTGCAGGCCACGGTGGGCACTTGATATGGGAGGTGACGGACTGCTAGTGGAAGAGAAAGCGGTATAACCTTCCAAGGACAGAAATACTTCTTCCTGGTTAAATCTGAACAACCCACAAGCAGCCACTAAAAGTGGCTTTTATATTAAGAGTTGCCAGGTAATATCTGTTGGTTATTATTAATGTTTGAATCTAAAATGGGTTTTTAAATATTCACATATCTTGGACAGACCTTTGTTTTGGAAAGAAAGAAGGCCACCCAAACTATGGCCACTTGCTTAAATAGAACTACTTGCTAGCAGTAGCCAGTTTCTCATTTTTTTTTTAAATAAAAAAATACATAATATAATTTGCTTCAGCAGCAGGATTGAGGTTTATAGGTTGTCAGTTATTTAGGAAAATACATTTATGTATTATATGTATTATGTTTAACATATTTTGGCTTCTGCAAAAATCTTTATGTTAACTTTTGTACTGTCCTTTTCTGGTGGCTTCTGGTCTTGCCTTCCCCTGTTCATTGCAACTGCATTGATGCTTGTAAATATCAGTGTGATCTGGATACTCCCTTGCTTGAAACTCTTCAGGGACTCCCTACTGCTTTCATGATCAGGTCCAGCCTCCTCAGCACCAACTCCAGCTCAGACTCTTTCTGGCTTCCCTCCTTTAAAGTGCTGGGACTTTTCCTTCTGCCTGGAGACACACGTGCCCTCTTCACCATCTCCTCTTTTGCCACTTGAAATGGCCAGTTCCCATCTACCCTGCAGATCTCCACTGTCACTGGGCAGCCCTCCCTGATGCCTAATTATTGGATATAGTCCCTCCCATGTGCCTCTAAGACAGCCTTTGCTCCTACTGCAGCCTCCCTTGCTCCTAAATTATTTGTCTTGGCAACTATTGTATTCTGTCCTTGAACCCCAGAGAACTATACTTGGTTTCGTGTGTGTGTGTGTGTGTGTGTCTGTGTGTGTCTCTGTGTGTGTGTGTGTGTGTGTGTGTGTGTCTCCAGAATCTTGCAAAACGCCTGGCTCACAGTGAATGTTTTTCAAAATAACTGAATGGGACCCATGACCAGGTCCTCTTGACTAAGTATCCCAGTGGTCCTGTTCATGCCCAGGGCCACCGCCACCCCTCATTGGACCCCATTTTGGTTTCCATTTCTTTAATGAAACTGTTTGTGCACCTTTTCCCCATTACTTTTCTCAGGTAATCTATTCAAATATTGATACTCATTTTGGTTAACATGGGAAACTATTCTGCTCTTTGGTTTTTTGTTTTTGTGGTCCCAGCATTTTCATGAATGAATTTCACACAAATTTCCTAAGATGTGATGTTTCTTTATTTTATTTTAATCTTGACATTACTACAACTTGTCATTTAAAACATGTTTGAAAAGTCCATAGTATGAGCTGGGCACGGTAGCTCACGCCTGTAATCCCAGCACTTTGGGAGGCAGAGGCGGGTGGATCGTCTGAGGTCAGGAGTTCAAGACCAGCCTGGCCAACATAGTGAAACCCCATCTCTACTAAAAATACAAAAAATTAGCTGGGTGTGGTGGCAGGCACCTGTAATTCCAGCTACTAGGGAGACTGAGGCAGGAGAATCACTTGAACCCAGGAGGTGGAGGTTGCAGTGAGTTGAAAGCATGCCATTGCACTCCAACCTGGGCAACAAGAGCGAAACTCCGTCTCAGAAAGAAAAAGAAAAAGTCCACGGTGTTGCCATAGTCAGTACCCTATGTCTGTGCTATGCTGCATCAGTAGTGCATCAGTTATATTAGTGGCTTGAAAACATCAATAGTGTTTTCAAGCCACTCATATAAAAAAGAAGCTACAAGAGGAATTCAAAGATTTTATAGTTATAAGGTTTTTATATATTTTGTTTTGTTATTACAGGAGTTGTAGATCTTATGGCTCTGACAGTGAAAGTGACCGAAGTTACTCTCATCACCGGAGCCCCAGTGAGAGCAGCAGATATAGTTGAAAATGTCCTTTTTGTGGATACAAATTATATCTTATTTGTAAATATCTGGCAACTTAAAAGCTTAAGAAACTTAATGACAGTCTGTTGTTCTATTTCAATATCAGAGATGAATTTCAAAAATAGATACTTCTTAATTGTTACTCGTTCATTTACATGTGGTGAGAAGAATTTAAAATACAGATATGTCTCCTAAAAATATTTTTATGCCACATTTTACAGTAGCCAACTATGGAAATGAACTTCATTTTCTTGAATCAAGAAATCGTGAAATTTATGTATAATTTGCAATATTATTTTAAGTCTATTTCACTCTATCTCACGTATTCCTTAGAATACAGATTCTTTTTGCCTGTTTTTCCAGTTTTAGCATATATGCTGCCAAGCATAGAACTGTGAAGGAGAACTGTTAAAGGCGGCCAAATATTTATATACCGATTACATAGAGTCTTGTACATAATGTGCTCTAAAAACAAACCACCCAGAATTGATACTGTTGGTAACCAGGAGTATAAGGCAGTGGCTCTGGGGTTCTTAATTCATTCCTAACTTCTTTGATATTTCACAGGATTAGGAAAGTGGTCATGATACGTCCCACACAGTCTGTATTACTTCAGGCTTGTGGGCAAGGTTAGGAAGAATCAATCAGCCTTAACTATAAATACCTGCACTGTCTCTGAGGACTTACTATTTTATGTTCTTTTTAATCAATACCTATCAGAAGTTTAGGTTATAAAAGCAATTCTATTCTACTTCATGCTTTGGTGCTTGGTAATTTTTGGTACCTCTTTAAGCATTACTCTTACAGATCATATATTTAAATACCATAAAAGAGAAAAATTAAATTCAAAAAAATCACTGGCACCAAAAATGGTTTATTCTGAGCTGTCTTCACTTTGACTATTTGGGGGGCTTCTTCTCTCAAGTACAGATGTGGGTTGGGGTCCCCTGGAGCAGGCAGGATTGGCAATAGGAGATACTGGCCACTCAAGTCTACTACGTGTGTGTACCTCTGGAAGAGTGAAGACTGGACTTCAAAAGTAACATCAAAATCTAACTGCCACCATCCTGGAGACATTTTGCAGGGCTTTCAAGTCTTTCAAGTACAGGATATTACCACAACAGCAGCTAAACTGTTGTAACCAGCATGTTTTTCCTGTTTCCACTGTGACCTGCAGCTGACTCAAAGCCTTGCATGACCTGACCCAGGTGCAAGAGACAGGGGAAGAGGGATAGAGGGTATAGCATAAATTATATATTTTCATGGCTTTGGGTGGTTCCTCCAAAAATAATTGGACCTGTAAAAACTAGTGTGTGTGTGTGTGTGTGTGTGTGTGTTTAATCTTTACTTTGAATTTGTTCCCCAAGTGTACTTAATCACCTTAGTGCCACTTTAATCCAGTTATGCAGAAGAAATTCATATTGGATGCCTGATGTAGAACTCAGCACCACCCTACCACAGGCCTTGTCTGGTGTATTTGGGAAGTGGAAAAGAGCCCTCAGTTGTAGGGAGCTGACAACCCTTGGTGGAGGGAGGGTGCCCTTGAATGTATTAAAACTATCACCCAAAGAAGGTATGAAAACAGGGTAAGGTGGTCAGTTGTTTGCCAGGTTGATAGACAGAAGTACATTAGAAAACAGGACTTTGGCCAAACAAACAATACTGGATACTGAATACAAAACAGTATGATTTAAAGGTTTTCAAGGGTTGCCTGCATACTACTAGTCAGAAGGAAAAAAATGCATTCAGAACCCAAGCAGAAACTGCCAAATGTAATTAAGAAAAGTTGCCCTTGGGCACTGTGTTAGTTTTCTATTGCTGTGTGACAAATTACCCCAAATTTAGCAACTTAAAACAACACCCATTTAGCAGTTCTGTAGCTCATGGGTCTGGCACAGTGTGGCTGGCTTCTCTGCTCAGGGTCTTACAAGGCTGAAATAAGGGTTGGCAGGACAACATTCTTTCATGGAGGCTCTGGGGAAGAATCTGCTTCTAAGCACATTCAGGTTGTTGGCAGAATTCAGTTCCTTGCTGGCTGTCAGCTGGGGGCCCCTCTCTCACCTCCTTAAGGCTGCCTGCATTCCTTCTTGTGTGGTCCCCTCCAGCTTCAAACCAGCCTTCCTGCTCTTTCTCATGGTTCATCTCTCTCTCCCGTCCTCCTCTGTTTTAGGGGCATATGATTAGCTCAAACCCACAGATATATTTGAAGGTCGATTGTGCGATAGAACATAATTGCAGGAGTACTATCTCATCTCATCATATTCACGGGTTCCGGAAATTAGCTCACTGAAAGGGGGAGGGGCATTTTCAAATTCTGCCTACCACAGGCAATAACTTTGCCCATCTCAGCTGTGGGTGGAATTTTATCCAGAAAAGATAGGCCCTAGAAGCCTCATTCCTTTTCTCCATGGACAAGGACAGCCCTCTGCTGCAGCATTCAACTTGTATGTTTACTGACAGAGTGAACTACAGAAATAGCCTTTCTTCCTAAAGGGGATTGTTCTGTATTTTGAAGTTATTTTTTAATAAAATTGAATTATGTTGTGTATTGTGCTTCTTAATAGGAAATGCATTATTGGACTGTTTTTGTAACATCTTGTTTATTGCAAATAGCTAGTATTGTTCAAAAACTGTATAAAATACTTTTGTACATATTAGCAATGTCTAATTTGTATACACTTCAGTTAAATTTCCCTAAAACTTGAAAGGGGACCTTGTAGAAATTAAAATATATACTTAGTCTAAGTCTGAGTCTGTGCATGTTTCATCTTTCTGCTGACCCAGCCAGTGAAGACACCTCATCTCCTTTGGCAGCTCCTTTTCTTCTAGCTGAGTGTTAGTGGTGGGTGTAGGAGGTCAGACAGAGATTTTAACCTACACAGGTAAGCATTAATGATGCTTGGTCTTTCTCTCCTGGAAACTCCAGATTTCCCCTACACTTTGTTGTCCAGCTAAAGTGACCTGCATAAAGATGTCTTTGCTGAGGGAGGAATATGTCACATCCCATCTGTGAGTTTCTGCCTAGAGACTGCATTTACCTACAGCCTCTACATTTCCCTCCCTAACAGCAGTACATCAGGCAGTGCAGCACATATCACTCACTCCCAGAGAAAACATTCTTTTAGCATACACAGAATTTGCAGGGAAGTACAATTAACTTTTGTCTTCTCAAAACTGAAAGAAATGTGTATTTTCTTAGTGAACACAACATAATTTATTGCAGTTAACTTCTCACTGCAGACACTCAGTTTTTAAACTGAGTTCACAGTGGACTCCTTATTTCAGCAACTCCTGAAACTTGTCAAATCTGGATGCATTCCTTTAAAATTGTAAAGAAAATGCAGGATCAAGTTCTGATAGTGGTAAGCTTGATAGTTGGGCAGTATTGGGGGCAAAATGTGCCAAGGACTTTGGTCTTGACTCTTCTGAATTAGCTGGGCATTAAATAGGTGGGAAGGTAATTCAAGGAAAATGCCCCTCTTGGAAGACACTAACTGGGAATCACTGTTTAGAAGAGATGGGAGGTGGCCAGGCGCGGTGGCTCACACCTGTAATCCCAGCACTTTGGGAGGCCAAGGCGGGTGGATCACTTGAGGTCAGGAGTTTGAGACCAGCCTGGCCAACATGGTGAAATCCCATCTCTACTGAAAAAAAAAAAAAAAAAAAAAAGAGACTCTACTCACTTTTTCAAGGCAGATGCTGAGCCTTGAACAAGTGTTGCAGACTAACGTGGTCAGGTGAAAAGATGCGGAAGCCATGCCTCGTAAGGTGAAACGGACTGGGTTCAGATTTCCAGAGGACTGGTTTTTGGAACAGAGAATCAACTCTGCTGTTGCCCACAGTGAGGCGAGAGCCCGCAGGCCCATGAGGGCCTTGTGGTAGAATGAGCTGGGAAGACAGCAGGGAGAAGTTCTTTGATGCAGTAAAGGCCCCTCAGGAGTCCAGAGGTGTCGGGAGGAGTTGGGTACCGTGAAAGAACACGTTCATCTCAGGACAGACTGGGAAGCTTGTCAGGGCCTGATAAGTACAAGGCAAGGGGAGTCTGCCCTGGCCACATACACACAGGGCTAGGAGGCTTTAGTGGTCTGGTTTCTTTCAAAGTTTCAGTACAAGGTAGAGGTAGTACTCCCTTGCTGCTGCCTCCACCCTCCCTGTGAATCAGAAGGCCCCGGGTGGGCCTGCTGCCTCTTGGAGACCCCAGACCCATCACTTACTGTAACCCCTCAAGCTCCAGCTCCCTAGACTGAGCTGAGCTTCACAGCCTGTAGAACCCAGGCTAGCTTGGAGAGGGTTGCATCTCTTCAGCCCAGAGCCATGAGGATATCAGGGTAAAAGGAGGAGTGGCCACCTGTATTTCTAGTGCTTTGGGAGGCCAAGGCAGGAGGATTACTTGAGGCCAAGAGTTTAAGACCAGTCTGGACAACATAGCAAGACTATCAAGACAAAAACAGAACAAAAAAGTAGCTGGGCATGGTGACACACACCTGTAGTCCCAGCTACTCAGGGCTGAGGTGGGAGGATCACTTGAGCCTAGAAGGTGGAGACTGCAGTGAGCCATGACTGCACCTCTGCCCAGCTTGGGCAACAGAGCAAGACCCTATCTGAGAAACAACAAATGGAGTGACCTGAGGTCTCAGGACAAACACCTGCATTCTGCATCTTGAGCCCTGATCCTGGGCCTCCTATGGCTCATAAACCCTGAACGAGGGTATATATGGCTGGCACACTCAGACATGATAGACAACCAGGGGTGCTTATCCCTTCCCAGCCTGCAGACGAGTCTGCCTCCCAGTGGACCTGGCCCACAGGGGTTGGGTGTATAGGCTGGCACTTCACCAGCCTCTGGTCACCTAAGACCTCTAGTAACTAAAATCTCCCATCAGGCCAGGTTCCCAGAGAAAGCCTGAAAAGAGTCCCCACTGACCTCAATGCCTCCAGCCTAATTTGATTTTATTTTGAAGAAGCAGGGGGACTTCTATGAGCAACTATTCTACGGTACAATCCTTAAGGACTCTGGCCCAGAACCAGACTGCTTGGGTTTAAGTTCTACTCTGCCACTTCCCAGTTGGGTAACCAGAAGGAGGACAATTTGCTTGACCTCTCTATAATTCAGCTCATCTGAAAACTGGATGCTAGGGATTCCTCCTCCTAGAACTGTGGTGTATTAAATGTTTAGAAAACCAAGCATACATCAGTGGTTCAGAGATGGTGGTCCCTGAGGTGGTGCCTCTAGAAGTGAAGGAGTCCCAGAGGGTTCATGTCTGGGGCCAGGCTCAATCACTAGGGAGAGGCCCAGGGCCCCCAGAACTAACAGGGCAGGAGAGGATCCTGGAAGCTGCAAAAGAGACCTGAAATGCCAAAGCCATGATGTTTATGCTGTGAGAGGAAACCAGACAACCTGCTGGTTTGCATGAGGCCCCCAACCAAGGGCAGCTGTAGCCTATTAGTGCTGGGTTCAGTGGAGGCAGAATTCAGGTGTAACCTCCACCCTTACCCTACACGCAGCGGATTCATGTTTTCCCGCCCTGCTTAGAACTTTGGGCTTTGGGTCAGCGCCTAGTGGGTAGCTTTGAACTTCCCTGCCACCCCACCGGCCCCATGATGTGTGAGTTGAGTTGCATTGCCTGTATTTTTCTGGCATTGCCCACTCTGCTCTCCCTCTTGCCCAGGCTCAGTTACACACAGTTCCATGCCCTCTGAGCCGACTCAGCCCTGCATTGCTCCCACACATGCATACCCACAACCTGGGCTGTTCTTTCCAACTTCAGTGGGGTTGAATCTGGTTTCCCCAACCAAGCCTGGGCACACTCCAGCACTGAGGGTAGATACCTAGGGAAATTGAAAGAAAACCCATGAGCTGTTTTCCAGAGGCAGGGGCATAGCTTTCCTGACCCTGCCAGGACCCAATCCCAAATGTGTGAAGGATCACTAAGCTCTGCCCTTGCTGGGTGAGCATCTCCAGACTCCTGACTCATCCCTGGGGCATCCATTTCTGGCCTAGGAGTCACCTCCACAATAACTCAGTCCCTCCCTCCAGAAAGCCTGCCTTGACCTCCCTGAAGTGAAGCTCCTACTGCATGCCCCTCATCAGGACCAAGAGAGAAATTCTGCTTCTGCCTAGCTCCACCTGTTCACTCCCACTGACCAGACAACTGATCAACAGGAATCTTGACTCCACCACACCAAATCCCCTCTAGTTCCCTGCAGGCACTAAATTGTCTCCACCTCCTGGCCTTTGCAGGAGCTGTCTCTGTCTGGAAAGCCCTTCCACTCCCTCATTGCTCTAGTTCAAGTTCAAGGCTCAGCTCTGAGCAGCCCTCTGGGCCCACCGGACAGCTCTTCAAACCACTCCTTCCTGCCAGGTCCAATGTTGCCAGGTGCCCACAGCTGCTCACAGAGCTCAGGCTCTGCCCTGGGACTCCCCAGCCGATGAGCTGCAGGCCAGAGAAACAAAAGGGGAATAGCCGAGGCCTTCAGGGAGACTGAGTGCCCCCCTACCACCCGTCCCCTCCCTTCTCACCCAACCTCCAGCCCTTCCTGCAGCTTGACTGCTGGAGCCAAGGCCCCAACAAGGCCCCACAGGGCCAGCATCACTACCTCAGTCATGCTGGCCACACCCTCTGTCAAGCTTTGACTTGGCAGTGGGCCTAGCAATGTCCCATGCAGCTCTCTCTGTCAGGCTTCTTCCGGCCCGTGGAGAGGTCCCCTCTCCCCACCTCCCTTTCCCCTGGTTCCTGATGTTGATGCCTAAGTGATTTGTCCTGCTCTGAGCCTCAGAGTCCTTATCCAACCAATGGGCACACAGCCCCTCCCTTACTACCTCCTGGGCCAGTGCTAGGATCCACTGTGAGTCAGATGAGGAAGTGGGCTGGGAGGAAGAGGCAGAAGGCAGCCCTCAGGGGGCTAGCTGGTCAGAAGCATGTAAGCTGCTCTGGCCTGGCCTTAACCTGGGGTTTCTGGGAGCTGGGCCAGCTGTCTGTGCACCCATGCAGGTGCAGGATGTCTGCAGCAGCTGCCAGGGGCTTCCAGATGCCCCAGCTTTGGCCCCTGAGACATTTTCTCTCTGGCTCTAGGATAGCCTTGTCCTGAAGCCCTCTGATTCTGGTGGAGAGTGGGGGTGGGGGAGGAAGCCCTTGCAGTCTTAGGGGACAGACCATCAGGCTGTTTCATGGCACCTGCCTAAGACCCTGGTCTCTCCTCCGTTTCTCCTCTGGCACCTAGAAACAAGTCACCCTGAGCCAGCGCCAGAGTTCCTGCCCACTCATGAGTAGGGCAGCATACCCAGGAGATACTGTTGCAGCTGGACATGGACTTGTATGTAAACACAAGCGCACATATGTGGGGAGGGGTGCGGAATATCAGGATGGGGGCAACATGAGAGTGACCCAGGATGGGCAGTAGTCAACTTGGGGTAGGAGTAGGGGATGCTCACAGAGGCCTCTCCTCTACAATGGTGGCCCAGTCACCATCCAGACCTTGCCAGATCTAGTGCCCCGTGGTCCCCACCCTGCTGCCTGCTCAGCCTGGTGGCATTCCTTTACAGCCTCCTGCCAACAGAGCCAGCCCCCTGCCCCCACGGGTGTCCATGCCAGAGCAGCATTCCGCAAGCCTGGCTGCATCTCCCCAGCAGAGGCTGAGCAGAGGGGGTCACTCAGCAGTGGTCAAGTCACACGGCTAGAGGGGCACAGTGGGGCCTGAGCCTCTGGCCCCTACTCCTCTGGTCCCTCTGTCTCCTGGTCCTGGGCCAGTCACCTTAGAGGACTTGATCGCTGCAGTTGTAGTCCTGGGTTTTAAATCTCCTGCCCTGGGTGGCCCTATGCAGCATGAGGCCACCAGGTAGGTATGGGTCCACTGGAGCCAAGTCCTGGAGGCACAGAGCAAAATGAGCCCTGCGCCGCCCTGGGATAGGGATGGGAGACTGGACCAGTTGGGGACGCCAGACTCACCCCCAGGTCGGAACAGCCCAGGCAAGAGGGTGGGGGTGGTGAGCGCGGCTGGGGTGCGGGGTTCAGTGGGATCAGCGTGGGATCGCTCAGGGAAGCGGATGGAAGCCTTTTCTGATCGGATCCGGGGCCCGGCGCTCTCAGCTTCCTGATTTCACGGCAGCTTCCCCTCCGTGGCGCAACCGGAGGGCACCGATGTTTGACTCCCGGACGAACTTCCCGGCAGAAAGGAGGCTCAGCACGGGAGGGTGGGGCCGGGGTCCATCTGCTCGGATATGAGCAGTGGGCACGGGCTGGGGGCTGGAGCAGGGGCTGAGGGGTGAAGGGCAGCCTGCAGCAGGGCGGGCTGCAAGGGGACGGCGCACACCACGCGTGTCCGCGCCCCCCGCCGGCACGCAGGCGGCCTGGCCCTTTAAGCGTCCAGACGGCGGCCCCAGCTGACGCGCGGGCTCCAATCGGCGCCCCGCGCCCCCCGCCCGCCGCGCCCGAGGCTCTGGGGCCGCAGCTGCTCGGCGCTGGACTCGCCGCGGCCCTGCGCCTCCGCCTGCCCGGCCGCGCCCCCGGGGGCCATGGTCGCTGCGTAATGGGGGGCGAAAAGGGAGTCGGCATCTGGCCTGGGGCCACCGTGGGCTGAGAGCCGCCCTGGCTGGGATTTCCCGGCCAAGGTGTGGGAACACCCATCAAGCTCCAGTACCAATCCTGTGGGGTGACCTTCGGCAGACCCCCGCCCATCTTCTGGGTCTATCCCAAGGGAAAGAGGGGAGGTATGTGCCACAAGGAGGCTTGGCATAGACACTCCCCTGCACCAAAAAGGAGCCCAGAGTCAATACCCTGTGCCCTGCTCACTGGCATCCACGCCGCCCAGCTGAAAAGAAATTGACATGGGAGGGGGGGGCGCAGAGAGCTGGCCCGGCGGAGGGGTGCAGAGGGGGGGGAGGGGGGGCCGTTCCCAGGGAGGCTCTAGGCAGGGTAGAGAGATAGGCTTCCCTCAGTTATGCAAGGAGCGCCCTCAGGTGTAAATGCTCT